GGACCCGTAGGTTGGGAGTTAGAGCCGAATATGTCCTAAACTTAGTCGAAAAATGGCGTTTTGGGGGCCTAAAATTCAAAATAGCCCCCGAACGACTATGTGGCTCACACGGATAGCTTCGCCATGACAAATAGGACTTGTGAGAACTGATGGAACGTAATTCAGACCCGTAAGTTGGGATTTAGAGTCGAATACGCCCTAAACTTAGTCGAAAAAGGGCATTTCGGAGGTGAAAATTCGAAACAACCCCTGAACCACCGTGTGGCTCACACTGACAGTTCCCCAATGACAAATAGGACTTGTGACAACTGACGAAACATAATCCGGACCCGTAGGTTGGGAGTTAGAGCCAAATATGCTCTAAACTTAGTCGAAAAAATGTGTTTTGGGGGTGAAAATTCAAAACAGCCCCTAAATGACTGTGTGGCTCATACGGATAGCTTCACCATGACAAATAGGACTTGTGAGAACTGACGAAATGTAATTTGGACCCGTAAGTAGGGAGTTAGAGCCGAAAATGCCCGAAACTTAGTCGAAAAAGAGCATTTCGGAGGCGAAAATTCATAGCAACCTCAAAACCAAAGTGTCACTCACACAGACAGTTTTCCCATGACAAATAAGACTTGTGAGAAATGATGGAACGTAATCCGGACCCATAGGTTGGGAGTTAGAGCCGAATACGCCCTAAACTTAGTAAAAAAAGAGCGTTTCGAGGGCGAAATTCAAAACAGCCCCCGAACGACCGTGTGGCTCACACGGATAGTTCCTTCATGACAAATAGGACTTGTGATAACTGACAGAACATAATTCAGACCCGTAGGTTGGGAGTTAGAGCCGAATACACTCTAAACTTAGTCGAAAAAGGCGTTTCGGGGGCGAAAATTCAAAATAACCCCCGAACAACCGTGTGGCTCACACGGATAGCGTCACCATGGCAAATAGGACTTGTAAGAACTGAGGGAACGTAATTCAGACCCATAGGTTGGGAGTTAGAGCCGAATATGCCCTAAACTTAGCCGAAAAATGGCGTTTCGGGGGCCTAAAATTCAAAATAGCCCCCGAACGACTTTGTGGCTCACACGGATAGCTTCGCCGTGACAAATAGGACTTGTGAGAACTGATGAAACGTAATTCGGACCCGTAAGTTGGGTGTTAGAGCCGAATACGCCCTAAATTTAGTCGAAAAATGGCATTTCGGGGTTGAAAATTCAAAACAACCCCCGAACCACCGTGTGGCTCACACGGACAGTTCCCCCATGATAAATAGGACTTTTGACAACTAACGGAACGTAATCCGGACCCGTAGGTTGGGAGCTAGAGCCGAATACGCTCTACACTTAGTCGAAAAATTACTTTCCGGGGGCAAAAATTCATAACAGCCCCCGAACCACCGTGTGGCTCACACGGACAGTTCTCCCATGACAAATAGGACTTGTGAGATTGACGTAACGTAATTCGGACCCGTAGGTTGGGATTTAGAGCCGAATACGCCCTAAACTTACTCGAAAAAGGGCTTTATGGGGGTGAAAATTCATAACACCCCCCTGAATGCGCCTTACACTTAGTCGAAAAACTTACAACACTTAGTTAAAAAAGCAACAACTTTATTAAAATAACATCTACATATTCTAATAATTGTCTTTATATATTTATAGGACGAAAAAATTACATATTACATTGTTTGTACAGTTGGTTGGAATAAATATTACATGATACATATATATATACTTTCTTTTATTTCCAAGAAGACATTTCTCGATTGTTCTACCTTAAATGCAAGTTAGAACATGTTCTATATGGCTAACTGAATTGATATTTTGTAACCAATTCTAATGCTTCATTTTTTATTTTTCTTTATAGATGGTTTTGTTGCGTGGAATTGTGGATAATCCATATTAGTCTATGAAAAAGAATTTTCAATTTTGTGTAGAATTAATATAATATTTTTGTCGTCCTCAGTTTTTGTGTAGTTCATTATTACTAATACAAAAAACTTTTGGCAAGCAACAGATAATGACTGTCATGGTACATAGATCACCTTCTGTCGTGGTACATATACCATTTGTCGGCATACATATAGGATGTTTTCTCATGATCCATAGAAAACTTTTGTCGTGGTACATATATCACCTTTCGTTGTGGTACAAATTACTACACCAGGCCAAATGATAATTTCGCTTGGTAGTAAATGTATTTTTTTTGTATATGGAAGGTTTTGATTTTTATATGATATATTTTGTATGGAATTATTATTTTTGTTTGGACAACAGTTGATTTGTATGAACTTTGATAGTTAATGTTATTTATTTTTGGTATATGGATGCAGATTGTGGAATGATTGATAGTATGTATTATTTTGTTTTTGTACGTATTACACGTTGCATTGTATATAGACAGGTTATGGAGAAATTATTATTTCGCGATGAAACATAATATCATGTTTTTGGCGACTAAACAATTAGTAGTTAAAAAGAAATTGGGAAAAGACATTTGGCGACTAAAAGTTTTGTAGCAAAAAAAAAAAAAGACATTTGGCGACTAAAAGTTTTGTAGCAAAAAAAAAAAAAAAAAAATCAAAAATTTGGTTTAGAAAAAAAAAAAAAAAAAAAAAAGAAAAACAAAAAGACATTTGGTGACTAAAACTTTAGTAGCCAAAAGAAAATCAAACATTTAGCGACTAAAATATTCCGTAGCTAAAAACAAAAAACTAAATTATAAACACACTTTTGCTGACTAAAATTTTAGTAGCAAAAAATGTAGAACTTTAGGCGACCAAATATTTAGTAGCCAAAAGAGGAACTCTTTGCCGACTAAACATTTAGTAGCCAAAGATGGAGACTTTCGGCGACTAAATTTTTAGTAACTAAAAAAGAACTCTTTGCCGACTAAAATTTTAGTAGCTAAAAAGGTGAGACTTTAGGCGACCAAAAGTTTGGTCGCCGAAAATGGTCTAATTTAATTTAATGTCTAACCTTTTGGCGACTAAATATTTAGTTGGCAAATGAATAAATTTAGCAACTAAAATAATTTTAGTCGCCAATTAGCTTTCCCGACAACTACTCTTCGGCTACTAATTTTGCGACCAAAAAATTTAGTCGCTAAAACCTTTTACTGACTAAAAATTGACTTTTAACGACAAAAAATTGAACCGCCAAAAATAAAAATTCTTGTAGTGGACCTTGACTTCGTCGCGTAAGCCTTTGCTTGAGGCAGACACGTCGAACTTTCCAAAGACTTTAGTGCAAAGATTGTCATATGACTTTTTAAAACCTCCCCTAGCCACTCTAATAGATTTCATTGAGGGTTTTTAATTTTTTTATTTGTAATTAATCTGTAATCTGATGAGGAGTCTTTTTTGTATTCACATTTGGCCCTTGGCCGGCGCATATGGATCACGTTTGGGTGGGTTCTTCACATGCTTAAGCCCATTTGCTAAGATGTTTTTTTTTTTTTTTTTTTTAATAGATAAGAAAATAATTACATTATGAAAAATATTTAAATATTTATATTATTAAATAAATAGAGTATTAGTATATAATAATTAGAAAGTTAACAAAATCTAACAATCAATTCACAATGTCCACCAAGCCAAGTTCCATAACAATTACTAATTGTCTAACAACCAATCCACCATGCCCACCAAGCCAAGTTGAATAATCACTACTAATCATATACAACCCTTATAATGGAAAAGAAATAAATCAACCACCACAAAAGATATCAAACTCATCTTTAGTGAAGCTAAACCTAAGATCACACATTACAAAAAAGTGCTATACAACCATTAAGCCAAATGCCTTTGTTCATTTGATAAGAAATTCAAACCCTATAAAGAGGGGAAATTTACGATTTACATTCTTTAAAATGGTCATATTATAAGAAGATTATGAGTTTTGTTCAGACTGTAGGGATTTAGAATAGTGCGCATAAATTAACTCAGGACACCTTATACATAATACATAAATATATATATTTATATATATAAATCGAAAGTTTAAAATGTATTGGATATCGATAGTAGTGGTTAAAGAATTTTGAAACGTTTGATAGTAAAATGAGATTTTATTTTATTAAATTTTACAAAAATTAATTTATTTTAGAAAAGCTAGTCACCTAAAAAATTTGTCTATAAACTTATCAAAAAAAGGGGTACATGATCTAAATTCAATTCTTATATGATAGTTATGATAGGTTTCACAGTTAAATATAATTTTTAAATTTTTTTTTCTTTGTGATCTTTGCACAATAAGGGGTCGTTTGGCAATAACTTTTTTAGTTGATTTTTTGGTTTTTTTTTGACTATTTTAGTCTGAGATTTTTTCGGTTGTTTGGTTTTCTTGTTTGAATCTTTTAGCTTTTTGGCTTGGGGATGGCAAATTTTTTTTTGTCTTTTTGTGATTTTTGTCTTTTTATGATTTTTTTGACTTTTTTTTTGTCCTTTTATAATTTTTTAGCCCCAAGAGGGAAACCAAACGAGCACTAAGTTAAGTGACTTAATTAGTTGATACATCAATTATGGACAACTAATAAGATCTGAAATATCCCAGAATTATAGGGTATGGTGAAAGGGGTGATAAGGTTTAGCTCTAAACTGACAATTAATGGATTAATTTCAAAATCTTAGGGCTTGTTCAGATACTTGGTTATTTTATTTGGCCTTTTAGTGATATTTTAACTTGGTTAAAAAAAGTAGTGTTTGGCATAATAGTTGACTTCTTTTGTTTTTGTAGTTAATTTGATAGTTGTGAGAAAAAAAATAAAATAATTATGTTTTAAATTTAATATTTTATTTTATTGATAATTTTAATTAATTTTTTATTTTTATTGACTATTTTAACCAAAATTACTTATCCCAAAACTTTCTTGAGAGACAGACTTGCAAATCAAGATCAATAAGTTTTTTTGTCCGACAAAAGAGTCGACTTTGACAATATTTAATTTCAAATTGTTTCCACAAGTAATTCTATATATAGACCATCTCACATCACATTATTACCTACAAATCTTAAGCGTCACAAACAAACATGGCATCCATGCATTCCTCTACTTGCATTTTCTCTCTCTTTCTCATCTTCCATCTCTCCCTTGCAATCCCCTCAACAACTTCCTCTCCCGATACGGTGTGTAGGTCAACTCCTTTCCCTTCCGTTTGCAAATCCATGTTGCCGGGTAACCAACCTGGCAGTACCATACATGACTATGGCCGTTTTTCCATCCGCCGGTCCTTAGCAATAACTCAAAATCTTCTCTCTTTGATCAATAGTAACCTTAGTAACCAAAACACATTGTCTCAAACCGCCATTCGTGCTCTCCAGGATTGCCAACACCTCATCAGCTTAAACCTAGATTTCTTGTCCAATGCCAGCCAATCCATTGGTTTTACAGACACCCTTCAAAGTTCACAAGCTGATGACACACATACTTTACTAAGTGCTGTCTTGACCAACCAACAAACTTGCTCAGACGGGCTTCAAGTTGCGACTTTGCCTTCTTCAGCCATTCAAAATGCCCTTCTAACTCCGTTAAACAATGGAAACATGATGAATAGCGTGTCGCTAGCTCTTTTCAAGCAAGGTTGGGCCCACAATGAGGCCAGACGTGGGCGGGGGCTGCTGACACAACTATTTTTTGGTGGTGGTGCTGGAGGGGTGAATGTGAGCCAAATGGTGGTGGTGAACCAGGATGGTAGTGGGAACTTCACCAATATCACTGCTGCGGTGGCGGCAGCGCCTACTTATAGCAACGGTAGCAATGGCTATTTCGTGATTCATGTGGTGGCCGGAGTTTATCAAGAGTATGTTACGATTACAAAGCACCAAACTTACTTGATGATGATCGGAGATGGGATTAACCAGACTGTCATCACCGGTAACCATAGCGTGGCGGATGGGTGGACAACTTTCAATTCTGCAACATTTGGTAAATTTTTATTTTATTGTATTTGGTAGGCTCTTTTAAGCAATGCAAATGCAATTAATTATATTGATTAATATGAGTTTCATCTCATAAGCAAATATAGGAGGTATAAAATTAGCAAATTTAAGCAATGCAATAAATTATACCCACATGCAATTAATCATATCCATGTGAAAGAAATTTGAAACATTAGCAACTAAAATATTACAACTTCTTTTATAATTTATCAAAATTCAATATGCTCTGTACAAAGTTTCTGCATGAAGTTTATCTTACTTTAAATAACTACTTAAGCAGAGTAATATTATATAAACATAAAATTTATACATAATTTTTTTTTTATAATTATGTGATAGGTTTGAGTTCTATTACTTTAAAAATAAATTTGAATCAATGCGACTTAATGTTAATAATGAAAAAATTAGGTAGTCAAAAGAGTAAATAAAAAAGTGTCCTAAAATAACGTATATAATATATATTTAAATTTGATATGATGTAAATAATACTTTGAATAAATCTAGTCTACATATTTTATTTTCTTATGAGCAAACTTTTATTCACCAAAAAAAAAAAAAAATCTATACCACATATACACTTCATTTATACATGCATAGCATTTCGAAACCATCTAAACCTAACATTTTGAATGAAAACACCTTGCAGTTGTGGAAGGCCAAGGATTTGTGGCCCTAAACCTAACCATCCGCAACACTGCCGGACCGCAAAAGTCCCAAGCGGTGGCGCTTCGAAACGACGCCGACTTGTCCACTTTCTACAACTGCAGTTTCGAAGGATACCAAGACACCCTCTACACCCATTCCCTCCGGCAATTCTACCGACAATGCGATGTCTATGGTACCGTCGATTTCATCTTTGGAAATGCAGCGACTGTTCTTCAAGATTGCAATATATACCCGCGGCTTCCCTTGCTAGGCCAGTCTAATACAATCACCGCGCAAGGTAAGACCGATATAAATCAAAACACCGGGACTTCAATTCATAATTGTAGCATTACTGCTGCCCAGGACTTGGCGTCGAGCAATGGCACGACACAAACTTTCCTAGGCAGGCCATGGAAGCTTTACTCGACGGTAGTTTATATGCAATCCTTCATGGATAGCTTGATTAATCCTGCTGGGTGGGCCCCGTGGTCTGGGGATTTTGCATTGAACACATCATACTATGCAGAGTATAATAACTATGGACCGGGGTCCAATACTAGTAATCGGGTCACATGGCTTGGTTACCATGTGATTGGTGCAACGGATGCTGTGAATTTTACTGTCTCTAATTTCATATTTGGAGATCACTGGTTACCTCAAACTAAAGTCCCTTATATTGGTGGTTTAATGTGAGTTATGATTTTAAATATTGGTACATATTATCTGATATTGGTTGATATATAGTTATATAGCCAATGTTGATAAGTATCTTGTTACCATTATTTAAAACTATAATAAGTATAACACCTTTTGCTATTTCATTCTTGAATTAAATTTGTTTTCAATTTTCTTCCCTTCCAAAATAACATTCCATGATGTAAGAATGCCAAGAAAATGTCTTACTTATGAGTTGTAATTTATTTGTTTTAATGTAAACAATCTCTAGTGTTATTCAAGATTTGGCTTGGGAACTCCCACAACCAAACACCAGTAATCAACAGTGTGTACAGTATACATGCTCATATGGTATCTACTGTTCCTGTACTTTCTTTCATTCCCAAACCACTTGGCTATTATTTTTCGGAGAAGTTATTATTGAATTGTATTCAGTGGCGATATGATAAAATTATTAAAAATTTATTACTTATTTGTAATTAATTTTTTAGAACTTACACTACTGAAGATACGAAAGTTAATTTTTTTTGTTATTTTTTAGCAGTAGAAGTCTATATAGCTAAATTTTGTAGAAGCATTTAAAAGAAGAAGAACAAACTCCAATTTAGTTGTTATTGGAGCTACTAAATTTTGAAATTGCTATAAGAGCCACTCAAATAGTAAATATTAAAATAACCCTGCTAAAACTTTTTTTTGTTTTTGACCTGTGATTAAATTATTATTTTTTGTTAATTTGAGAGATTGAATTACAACGAGATAGGCCTTGTTTCACATAATTTTTTTTGGTTAAAATAATTAATAAAAAAAAAATATATATTTAGTCAATAAAATAAAATATAACATTTAAACCATAATCATTTCATTTTTTTTCTCTCACAATCATCAAATCAATTACAAAAAAAGTTATTTATTATCTCAAACATAACTTTTTTAACCAGATTAAAATAATAAAACATTTAGATTAAAAAAACCCATCACAAACGGGGGCTAAAAATTGAAAATAAATAAATTTTAACTCTATATAACACATCTCAACTAAGTTGACGTATCTGCGCAACAAATCATTAATAATTTCATCCTTTTCCCTCAAGGAACACCTATAGGTTGACAAGATGCCAACCAAGAAACTATCACCCAAAAAACACCTTAAGCAACTACTCTACCCACAACAAAAAAAAGGCAAACAGCAAAAACATAGCAAATTTTTAGCTCTGTTTTTTTTTTTTTTTTTTTTTTTGATCGGCAAAAAGTAAACTTTATTGATGAAACACATACAAAGTATGATAAAATACATCAATAAAAAGGAACTTGGAGCTAATTCAAGCTCAAATCTCCTAGTTTGTGAGAGACCAACAATCAGAGCAAAGCAAAGAAAACTAGCTAGCATTCCATTGCTTGGCAAGCCACAAAACTTAACAGACAACATCAGCAGGCAGCTCCAGCCCTCAACTTTAGCAGACAACAACACAACATTACTGCCCAAAAAACATCAACCATCACAAATCACCCAAGAATGGCTGCCACTACTAACAAACCAACAAACAACAACCAGCAAACAACCACCATCACAAAGCACCCATGAGGTGTTAAGAGACAGCAACACAACATCACTGCAGTCCTACAAACTATGCCTCCTCAAAACTAAAAGTGGACAAGCAACACCAGTACATTTCACACCCTTCCACCAATACATTTCCTAATCTGCTAAATATTGAGCAAAAAATCAGTAACAGAGAAATTGAGATCTTTGAATGAAGTCTTGAGCCAAATAGCAACTCTGAGGATGATTAATTCCTGCAACTCTCCCATCTTTGGTTGAACACTATTGAACACAATCATTTCTACACTTCCAAATTGACCAAATAGCTACAAATGAAATAGCCTTCCAGATTCTCCCCTCTGCGTTGTTAAGCTAGATTTCAGCCCACCATTACAGCAGACATTCAATTGAACTTGGCACAACCCAAAGCATACTCCACCACTGCAACACACCTATCCACACTCTCCAAACCATGGGGCACAAAAAAAGGACATGTTCTATTGTCTCAAGCTCATTTTTTGCAAAACACACAGTTAGAGGATACACTCACACCCAATATCTCAATCCTCTGTGGAAACACACAGGTCTTTACCTTATGTTTTCAAGCAAGCCACCCAAAAAATTGCACTTTGGGTGGAAGATAGTTCACCGATATTGACCTACTAAGAAAACCCAACTCCGTAACCTCTACTGCTGTATAATTGTACAATGTTGATACAAGAGACTAACCAAATTTGCCAGCCGACCACACTGGTTTGTCCACACCATCCAGATTAAGAAATGGAGCCAATCTCAGCACATCTTTGAGCCTGATAAGTTCCTCATCTTCCCAAACAAACATATGCCTTCTGAAACTAAACACCCAATTTTCTGAACTTCCTTTCTTTTCAACAAAGAGCCTTAATGAGCCCCTTGCTCAGTAGATAACCTGAATAATCTAGGGAATTCCTTTTTAAAACATACATCACCACACCATTTATCATGTCAAAACTTCACTCTAAGTCCATTGCCCACTGCAATCTTGAAATGATTAACATAAAACTAAACCAAATTAGCCCTACACTTTGCCACAGCTAAGATATCCCTTCTGATTTTTGAGCTCCTATTATCTTGATTTAGAATAGGAAACCAGTCTCCCCCTTTCAGATTGTGCTTGTTGCAAATTACCTTCTTCCATAAAGATTCCCCTTCATTTGCAAACCTCCACCACCACTTGAGCAAGAGGCATACATTAACATCCCTAATTCTCTGAATACCCAACCCTCACTGTAGTTTGCTTAAAGTTACCTCCTTTCACCTCACCATATGCACTTTCCTCTTCAAATCTGTGCCTCCCTATAAGAATGCAGCCTGAATTCTATCTATTTCCTTGGCAATTCCTTCAGGCATCTTGAACAATGATAGGTAATACACTGGTAGATTAGATAATACTGCCTTGATCAACGTCAACCTACCAGCAAATGACAAAAATCTCTTTTTCCATCCAGAGAGCCTGGCCTTTATTTTATCCATAATTGGTTTCCAAATGTTCTTTCTACTTGGACTCACACCTAAAGGCAACCCAAGATATTTCAGTGGGAACCCTTGAGTTGTACAGTTCAATAGTGTTGCAAACTCCTTGCTGGATGCTTCAGAAATACCCACTCCACATACCACACTTTTATGATGATTAATCTTGAGACTTGAAAGGATTTCAAACCACCTAAGAATCCTTTTTATATTTAGCATCTCCTGCCTATTAGCCTCACAAAACAATAGGGAATCATTAGCAAATTGCAAATGAGATGCTATTATTCTATTGACACCAATTTCCACCCCCTTAATGAATCTCATTTCTCTTGCTCTCCTCAGTAAAACACTCAGCCCATCAGCAGCCAAGTTAAATAAGAATGGTGATAAAGGATCCCCTTGTCTAAGCCTTTTTTGAGGAGAGAACTCTTTAGTTGGTGATCCATTTCCTAAAACTGAGACTCTGGCTGATGACACACATTCCTTTATCCATGAAATCCACTTTGATCCAAACCCAAAATTTGAAAGCATTGAAATAAGAAATTCCCAATTAATGGAATCATAAACCTTCTCAAAATCAAGCTTAAACAACAAACCTTTCTTCTTAGCTTTCTTTCACCCATTTGCTATTTCATTGGCTATTAACACTCCATCCAAAATGTTTCTCCCTCCTAGAAAAGCAGATTGTGTTTCACTAATTACCTCAAAGCATTTTCCTTCTTTGGATAGGATCTTATACATAGACCCTATCAAACTTATTGGCCCAAACTCATTTAGACTCAAAGCATTTTCCTTCTTTGGAATGAGAGTAATAAATGAGCTATTCAAACCATACTCCAACCTTCCTCTGATATAAAACTCTTTCATAAAATGGATCATTTCTTCTTTGACCACCTTCCAATTCTTTTGAAAGCACAGCATGTTGAAACCATCTGGACCCGGTGCTTTATTACCATTACAGTCTTTCGCTGCTGCCCATATCTCTTCATTAGAGAAATCTTCTTCTAGCTGTGCAAAATTCTGACTGTGCCTTATAGACTTGAAGTCCCCTATTAAAATAGGCATCCTCCTCCACTTTTCTGAGAAATGCTTTTTAAAATAGGTCCAGACCTCATGTTTTACTTGGTCAGGCTCTTCAGCTACACTCCCCTCTACTGTAATGGAGTTTATTGCATTTCTATTGAGTCTGCAGCTTGCTGTGATATGGAAGAATCTAGTATTCCTATCCCTTCTGAGATTCCAATCCAATTTTGATTTTTGAAGCAATGCCCATTCAATCATATGACTGAGAGTCCACATCTCACTTCTTAACTGTCTTTTCTGTTTCAGTTCTACCTCCACTAATGGACTGACTTCAGCTTTCAAATCAAGAATATGCAATTCATCCTTAACTGCTTTTTGTTTTGATTCCACAGTGCCATACACCTCTCTATTCCACTGTTTCAAAGCCATCTTTAGAGCTTGTAATTTATTTTGTAAAGTAAAGCTAGCATCCCCTACTATGTATGACTCTCTTCAAACCTTCACCATTAGAGAAACAAACTTAGGATGCAATAGCCAAGCATTCAAGAACTTAAAAGGCTTTGGCCCCCAATCCCTCACATCTTCCATAAGCACTAGGGGACAATGATCTGAGATGGTTCTTGATAATCCCCATAATTTGAGCTTAAACCTTTTAATCCATTTAGGACTAAGAAGGAACCTATCAATTTTACTCCATTTAATTCCATCATGAGCATTGTACCAGGTGTATTTTCTGCCAAGCATCTAAATTTCAATCACCTCACATCTATTTATGAACTAATTGAAATCTTTCATTCCCATATCCCTTCTTGAGCACCCTATTCTTTCAACTACATTTATAATTTCATTAAAATCACCACCTAAACACCAAGGCTTTGAAAAGCTACTTTTAATGTTTAATAGGACCTTCCATAAGTTACCTCTCTTCACCGCATCATTTGGAGCATATATATTGAGAATTACACACTCAAAAGAATGATGAAAAATACGTGATTGTAGTATAAAATTTATGTTGCTACAACACTGATAACTAAAAAATTCCAAGATCCCAAATGCATAGCAGCCCTCTAGCTCTTCCTTTAGCCTCAACTGACATGTATTCAGATCTGTCCCTATGCCATAATCTTCTGACCTCTACCTTTGATATGCTTGATAACTTAGTCTCTTGAAGTAGAACCATATCAATCTGTCTAGCAATTAAGAGTTTCTTTATTTATCTTTTTTTCTCAGATCTTCTAACTCCTCTAATATTCGAGCTTAACATCTTCATAACAACATATATTAACCATTGTAGACCACCTATAAAGAGTTGATTACAGGCACCTACCATTCCCCTCTCCC